TCCCTGAATTTGTGGTAAATCCACACCCCCTCCCCCCGCAGTGCAGGGAATCAAATCCAGGGCCTACCACACACCAGGCAAGTTCTCACCACAAAGCTACAATCTCCTGCCCTAAATTCCTTAGATTTCCAGAATGGAATCATGGGGTCAAATCAGAAGAAACCGCTTTTTTATGGATCTTTCATGTATATGGCCAAATTATTTTTAAAACTTTGGGCTCTGTGAATCTGGGTGGTTTCCAGCCGTTTGCAGCTGTCGCCTTCAGTTGGCCTTTGGAGAGTTTATGCCGACTTGCCCTCCCAGCGGCCACCGTGTTCGAGGGTCCTGGGCTCTTTCTGGGCTTTAGCGGTCCCCAAGCCCAGCAAGATCAGTGGCACCAACCTCCCTCACTCCCTGGTGCCTCTCTCCCGGACTCAGGTTACTTCTGTGGCACCGGCTGCTGGGCCCAGTGCGCCCCCTGCAGCCGGCGCGAGGGATTGCGCTCCCAGTCCTGAGACCTGGGCTCCACAGGTCGGGTCCCACCCTGCTCTGGTCCCCTCCAGGTTGGGCCTGACTCCGTGCAAAGTCTGCCAGGCCCTCAGAGGCCTTCCTTGTGCCTTAGGCAGCACAGGACCGCAGTCGGTGATGCATCGAGCCTCCTGACAGCCCTTTCCCACACCAGGCGGCTCTGCATGAGGAAAGCCTCTCTTTTTCTTGACCTGAGCTCTATATCCTTGGTGTTTCCTCTCGCAGCTCCAGTGTTACAGCTCAGGGCCACGAGAAGCCACTCTGCTTCCCTGCTGCTCTCCCACCAGCTCCATTCCTCATGGCCTGAGCTTGAGGTCTTCTGCTGCCCGGTTTCCTCATCTGTAGGATGGAGATAATAATCTCTACTGTGCGGGGCTGTTGCAAAGATAAAAAAAATATATATTACCAATAAAAATGGTGCACATCTGTAATCCCAGCAGCTCGGGAGGCTGAGAGAGGAGGATGGTGAGTTCAAAGCCAGCCTCAGCAATGAGAGGCGCTAAGCAACTCAGTGAGACCCTGTCTCTAAATAAAATACAAAATAGGGCTGGGGATGTGGCTCAGTGGTCGAATGCCCCCAAGTTCAGTCCCTAATACCACACACACACACACACACACACACACACACACGCACACCAGCTTAGTTCAGATTTCGGGCTCAAGACAGTAGACCAGAGCGAGTGGATTTACCTCTCCTTCTTCCTCAACATCCATTGAAAGAAACTTAAAGAAGGGCAGGAGGTTAAAAAAAAAAAAAAAGGGAAAAGAAAAGAAAAACCAATAAAAATCCTGCATGGGGCAGACAGTACATCAGTGGATGGGAGATTTGAACTTATTTCTGGAATACAGGAATGGGTACATGGGCACAGAGAAAGTCATAGCTCCAATCAAGTAGTAGATTTGCCTGTAGATGATTTTATTGTATTTTGTGTTGTTTTGTGGGTCGAGGACAAGGTAGGAGAGCAGAAGTGGGGACGGGGCAGAAACCAGGGCCATGGTGGGCAGATCTCACTGTAGAGCTGCCACGTGGTGGTCATGTGGGCCTCTTTTGCCTGGGTGTGTACAGCTCCACTATTGCCCCTCCCCTGAGACTGCCCGGGGTTTCCCTGAGGAAATGGGATAATCAGTCTAGGAGAATCCTGGGCTTTCAGAGTGAGCTCAAGGCCCCAGAGGACACCTCTTCTAGCTTCGACCCTAAGGCCTGGCTAAGCTTGCGTGCCAGCTCCCCACCCCGAATGCCAAATCCAAGCCCGCCACTCAGCAAGCCTCTCCTACACCCACAGAGCTTGCTTTCTGCTCAAAGCAGCAGAAATAATTCAAGAAAGCAAGCTTAACAATGAAACCCTTTAAACTCATCAGAGATTCAGGAAATTACTTCATTTACAAGATAAAGAGCAGCATATAATAAAGAAACATTCAAAAAGTTCCTTAGTGTTTAAATACGTTTAACATTTTAATTTATTTGTGGTGCTGGGGATGGAACTCAGGGCCTTACAAATGCTAGGCAAGCACTGGACCATTGAACTACTCCCAGCCCAATTTGACAAAAACAAAAAAAATCAATAAAAGGGTTACAAAAGATCCAAGTGACAGATCCAAGTGACTAATTTCATTCTTGAGGACGTCCTTCTTATTATTTAGTCACCTCCTAAAATTTCCACTTTCAAATAAAATCATGTTGGGGACCCAGGCCTCAACATATAAATGGGGCATGGTGGTGTGCACAAACAATTCAGTCCAAAGTGCATGTGTAAAACATACACACACACACACATTTAAGAATGTGAATGTATATGAATAATGTAAGTTGCTGAGTATTACAAAATATTGCTAATTGCCTTGCACAACTCCTACAATTAGCATAAAATCATGAATATCCTGGAAACACAAATTGAAATGCACAGAAAAGCAAAAACATGAATGTATCACCCTAATAGGAAGCGATAGTGTGTGAATCTGTTTGTTACACGTATGCTCTTTGAGAAAAAGAATCAGATGGGGTGATTCAATTTGCATTTTCTCTCCCTTTTCCCATTTGAATCTTCCCTGCACTTTGAAAACAGTGTTGGTCTCTGGTATTGGCCTTGGGACAATCCATAAATTTTCTTGGCACTCAAATATAGTCGGTTTTTGTTTTGAGGACATAAGGCAAGAGATGGAGAAGTGTTTTCCTGGGGCCCAGGAGATGTTAGTAACCAGACCAAATATTTAGAATTACTTGATTACACTGTGCCGGACACATGCCAGCTCCTGAGTTATGGAGGCTCCCGCATGTTCTGTAATAAATTTGGGGTTTGAGGGTTGTGTAATGTGGGCTCTCTAAAGCACAGGGCCCAGGCATGGATTCTTCTTGCCTGGATCTGGGTGGTATTGCCTGCAGCCTTCTCCCCGCCCCACCCATACAGCATAGGCAAGAGTTAGCCTCTGAGTCAGGCGGACTGAGGTCCCAGTCCTACCCCTTGCAAGTCTCATGACTTGGAGAAAGCCATTGAATCTGCCTGAGCCTCAGCCGCCTCATTTGCAAAATGGAACTCATAACAGGTTTCTCCTCCTCCGGGGTTGTTAGAGCAGCCAGCCCCTAAATTTGCAAGGTGTGAGACAAAAGCAAAAGGAGAGGATTGGCCTGCAGCTCACCGCCCTGTCTTCCCACCTGGCTTGTTCCACTCTAGTAGACATCAAAACGTGGGCATCTAATTACCATCCACACATGCCCCATCCTGAGGACAGTGCCCTTGGCCATTTTCAATCCTAGGGGTGAAGAGACTGATGGTGTGGTCCACCCTCAGAAGGAAGATACAGGAAAGGGATCATAAACAAATTCCGGAATTGGGCTCTGGGGTCTCAAGGTATTAATGATAGGAATTTGAGGGGAAGGACTGGTAACGAGGACCCTGAGACAGCCTGTGAGGAGGAGGACCTGAGACAGACCCTCTGAGGCAGGGGCCCACATTGTCTGTCCTGGTTCTGCAGATTGGTGAGATAATGTTTATAACCTGCTTACCACAGTGCTTGGTGTTTGACACATAATAAATACTTGATAAATATTATCTATTGGTATTTAATCATATTATTATTAAAATGAGAATCTGAGGGCTGATTCTCCCTTTCAGAGGAGTGATAGGAGTAAATGAGATTAGTTGATGAGGTTTCTCTAAAGGCTTTTGGAGGACACAGGATGGCTTCCCTGTGGGTGCTGAGCCTGAGGTTGCAGGGAAAGCAGCCAGCCTGCTGGGCCAAGACAGGAGGGCCATGTTCTTCCCAGGACACCCAGGAGGTCTGCAGCTGCCAGGGTGACTTGGCAGGAGGCTTCTCAGAGACTGATTAACCGAAGCCCAAGATAGACGGCAGCCCCGCTAAAACCCCTACTATTTGCGAAGATGCTCAGCCCCAGTTCCTCCCTACACCCTTGCCAAAAAGGTACACACATCACAGTTGAGGAAATTGAAACTCTAGAGGTTGAGTGACTTGGTCAAGGTCATACAGCAGGGAGCGGGGAGCACCAAGCCCTTTCCATTGTGCTTGATACCTGAGTCTAAAGCACAACTTGCAGGTAGAGAACAGGACCGGCCCAGGGAGCCGATTTCCACACGGGGATAATGAGCGGTGCAGGTTGTGAAAGTGCCCGGTAGAAGGACGCACAAGGTAATCCTGCTCCTCCTTTCGCCAACTGAGCCCAGCCCCACGGGATACCCTGGAGCTGCCCTGTGACCTTGGACAGGCTCCATTCTCACCCACGCCTGTACCTGAAGGTTGCTGGACAGAGGCCAGTGGAGGAGAAGGCGCTGGTTCAGGCCCTTTGGGGTGCATCTCAGAGCTCGGGTTGTGCCCTGTGCTGTAGAGGGTCACAGCATGGTTGAGAGGCAGCCACCACCTCTCCCCTCTGCGAGCCTCCAGGGACTTCTGCCTGCTCAGCCACCCATCTAGGAATCATTTCTTGGGAGTTCTGCCTGGATGTTTTTCTTGTGCCTCCACCAGCTTCTCCTCCCTGGTCCACATCTGCCTGGTCACCAAATATCCAAAGCAGGGCCACTAATACCAGCTGTGTCTGCTGACCCTGGGGGTTATTCTAGCTAACACAGACTCTGCTCAGGACTGATTCGGTGCTCCCTTCTGGTGGGGATTCAGGAAGCACTCCTAAGGCAACAGGGAAGTGCAACAGGGGTTCATGAGAAGGTGATCGCAGGGGACCAGGTGCTAGTGGAGACTTTCAGGAGACAGCACAGAACAAGTCTCAGAGTTGTCCCACGTGAGGGAGGAACCCTGGGTATTTATCCACCAATTCCTGATTCTCATTGGTTAAAGGCTATTCCCAGGGGCATATTAACTCCCCAGTGCTCAGGACCTCTGAAGTGCAGCGGCAGAGGCAGGGTGGCAGACATGTAGAGAGCAGCGGCTTGCAGGAGGGGTCCCTGGGCCAGCTGCAGGGTCTGCTATGGAGCTGGCCATCTTGGTCTTGCTGGGCACGGGTAAAACAATGCTCTGAGTCACCAGACGACCACGAGTGAAAACTTTATTGCTCTCAGCACTTTACATGAGTGTCACCAACACCACGTTTGGGCAAATATATAAAAAGCACAACTTATGGTACAATCGTTTCAACCTCTGATTCATGCACTGTACAGACGCTCCCAGGATCTCTCCCAGCACGAAAGGACGGGTCTCAGGCACAGCAGTTGCACTTGTCCGAGCTCCCTTTGCAGATGCAACCCCGGGCACACTTGGCACAGCCTGGGGGGCAGCAGGGACAGCAGCCTGCAAGGGTTAGCAGATGAATGAGTCAGCTTTGCGTCCACACTTCCATCTTCCCACCCCCCACCCCCCGCATCACTGAGAGGAGGTGGGAAGAGTGTGAGCACGAGGCTTCGATCCATATTAGAAACCGTGGGACGGGAGACTGAGGGACATGAGAAGGGAAGGAAATCTCAGGGGTCATCCAGAGTCTGCCAGAGTCCCAGAGAGGGGAAGGGGTTGTCAAGGCCATGGGTAGTGGCAGATACAAGACTAGAACCAGGGCTCCAGGCACCAGGCTGGTGTGTTAGCTCCTTTGCCACTGGACAGGACAGAGCCTTCCCTCAGTCTCCTTCCTCCTCCAAACCCCATGGATGTCCCTGTGCTTGGGTGGGCTGTAGCCCCGAAGAGTGATGTTTCGGATCCCTTCCAAATGAGTTCAAGGCCCCTCAATGGCACCATGGCTGCATGGTTGAGGATGAATGATTAGACCTTTCGAGAGCCCAGCCCTGGGTGTCCCTCATCACCATACTCACTTTTACGACATGTTTTGCAGCTGCAAGTTGTACATTTGCAGTTGTCTCCACAGATGCACATTCCTCCTACAAGAGAAGACAGGCCACCGTGACACCAGGGCTGGGACGGAGTGGACTGCGAGCCCTGCTGCAGACTCTCACTGCGGCAGGGTGTCTGCGCTGGCCTTGGGGAGTAGCTGCTGAGCATCCCCCTGTGTTGAGGACTGTCCAGTGGTCCCGTCACAGGCCATCAGGAATATTTGTTAAAAGGCACATTCCTGGGACCAAACCCTAAGATTGTCTGATTTCTGAATTGAGTGGGGAAAGCCATTAGTATTTTTCATACATAAAAATCATCCACATTTAAAAAAATTTTTTGGTAATACTGGGAATGATTGAACTCAGAGATGCTTTACTACTGAGCTACATTCCCAACCCTTTTTAATGTTTTATTTTGAGACAGGGTCTAAGTTGCTTAGGGCCTTGCCAAGTTGCTGAGCCTGGCCTCAAATTTGTGATCCTCCTGCCTCAGCCTCTGAGTCACTTGGATTGCACACATGTGCCACCATGCCCAGCCATTTTTTTTTAAAACTCATCCCAGCCATCATTTCAATTTCAAAATGCTGGAAGCTCTATCTATCTTTTTAAAAAAATATTTTAGTTATGCATGGACACAATATCTTTATTTTGCTTATTCATTTTTCATGTGGTGCTGAGGATTGAACCCAGTGCCTCACATGTGCAAGGCAAGTGCCCTACCACTGAGTTCACAACCCCAGCCCTGGAAGCTCTGTCTCTTTAGCACGTTTTTGGTACAGGCATGTGCTGTTAAGGATGAGAGGCTTGTGGACTTTTATATACCATTTTCCAAGGCTGTGAAATCTCAGATGGCTTTGAACTAGATCTCCCTCCTTCTAATCAACATGCTTCTGTGAAGATAAGCAGTTTTGAAGACTCGCAGATACACTTAGGTGGCTAACAACTGCCCTGACATCTGTAAGTGCTTAATGATTTTAGCACTTTCATGGAAACCCTGGGAGGATGCATCTGGGAATGAGTGATCTCAGTTTACAGATGAGGAAACCACGACTCAGAAATTATAAATGTGGATGAGTGAATGGCAGCAGCAATGGACCTAAGCCAAGTAGCCAGGTTCTGGTCCAGAGTTCTTTTCCTGAACCTGGTGGCTGCCCCCAGGATCTGCAACTAGGAGGACCAAAGTTTTCAGATCCTCTCCTTGGCCATTCCCTGTGCCAGGGCTATCAATTCCAGCAAATCAGACTAGAAGTCACCATGGTGGGAGCTGCCCCAGAGGTTGTCAGTCCAGGACAAACCTGATTGGTGACTTCTGATTGGAGTCCTGCATGCTCTCTGGAGGGTGCTGGTGCTGGGCTCCAGGACCCCAGGAGGGCCTCCTTACTTACCAGACATGCAGGTGCAATCCCCGGGGTCCATGGTCCAGGCGTGCAGGGGGTTCTGCTGCTGTCCTAGCTGAGGAAGGGAGACTGAGTGAGCAGTGGCTGGAGGCTCCCTATTTAAAGACCTGTAGGTGGGGCCCGCAGCTCACCCCACCTCTCCCTGGGGCCAGACGCCCTGCACACGGCCCAGCCAGACGCTGCAGGCTGTGGGCTGGGGAGAGCAGGCAGGTGAGGGCAGAGAGGCTGAGCCTTACAATCATTTGGATGGTTTTCCACAAAAGGTACAGGTGCTGCACCTACTCTACCTGTCCACCTGCCAAGGTGTCACAGAACCAGGCTCAGGTTCAAGTTGGCAGTTGCAGGCATCCAGCCTCCGAGTCCTACCTACTGTATGATCTGCCGTTTCTATTCCCTGCTTCACGGGGGCTGCTCCTGCCCTGGCTCCAGCCTCATTTTCTTTCCCTGGGTTGATCCTTATTGTGGGTAAGAAGGTGGGAAATCAGGGGGACTCTCCTACCTGCAGCTCGCAGCTCTCCTTCAAGCTCACACCCCAGAAGGCAGAATCCAGAGAGGACTGGGGGACATCCAACCTCCATCATGACCCCACTATTTGATAAAGGCAGCAACTGCTTAGCGTTCACTCTTATGCAAAGTGCCCCACAGATGACATGGCTCCAAATGTCCCCCCTTAAGCTGTCCCCTTCACCCACCCCTGAACAGAAATTATGGAGCAACCACTAATGGGGCTTCCTCCAAGAGGCTGCCTCCAATCTCTCCCTCTCTAAGACGGAAGAAATCTCTGTGTGTGTGTCCCTTGGTGATATGTTTGTGCCTTTCTCTTGCCATTTACTACTTTCTACTCTGCTGGGTGATGATGACGATGATGATGATGATGATGATGGAATTGAACTCAGGGGCTCTTAATCACTGAGCCACATCCCAAGCCCTTTTTTGTATTTTATTTAGAGACAGGGTCTCCTGGAGTTGCTTAGGGCCTCGCTAAGTGGCTGAGTGTTGGATATGGAAAATGATAAACTCCAAAATAATGTGGCCCAGGGAAAAGAAATGAGAGAGAAGGCAATGCACTGATCCTTTCCCAAAACATTCTTTCCCAGTAACAAGGAAGTCCTGAGAAGAGCTATCCATCAAGTCTGAAATGACAGTTTCTGGGAAGAGGCCAAAGCATTTATCCCGCCCAAAATAATTTTTTTTCCCAGATACAAACCACTGATCCCACACCCTCCATCTGGCCCAGTAAAAATGAATCCCAGATACCGAATACTGACCCCACACCCTCCACTGGGCCCAGTAAAGATAGCCCAAACTGACACTTCTCAGTGTCACCTACATAAGCCCAAACTCCCCCTTTGGCTGGAGGCTCATTTTCCACCAGGAAAGTGGATCCATTAGGACGTCACTCCATTCTGGAATAAAAGCTGTGCTGAGCTGATCCGTCTGGCCCGATTCTTTTGTGCTAACACTGAGGCTGGCTTTGAATTCGCGATCCTCCTGCCTCAGCCTCCCGAGCCACTGGGATTACAGGCATGCACCACTGCACCCGGCTGTATGATTATTTCTGTTCAAATATTTTATTTGTGTTTAAATAACCATACAGCAGGCCGAGCAGGTAAGCGGGCTGTGATCTCCCTCTCTCCAATCTGGGAGTGCTCAGGGATAAGACCAGCATCTGAAGCACCTCTCCTCCTTCTTAACTTCCTGTACATTGGTAAATTGGTGCATTCCAGTTGTACCTAATGATGGGATTCGTTGTACGTGTTCGTACATGTGCACAATACAACAGTATGGCCAGTGGATGTTGAAGGAATGAATGAGTGAATGAGTTGGATGGATGGTTGAATGACTGAAGAAGTGAGAGGGTAAGCGAACACCTGAATAAGAGAATGAATGAGTGATCTAGGACACACACACACGCACACACACACACACACACACACACAGACGCACACACACATGCATGGATCTCCTGTGAGTGGCCACACTGAGAATCTCTGCTGAAAAGTGTTGTCACCATTCTGAAAAGGCAAATGATGGGACCTGGCTGACACCAGAGCAGATGGTTCCTCACGGTTCTCAGCTTGGCGGGATACCCATTGTCATCCACCAGGACCCCCTGGGCCCAGCCCAATCTGTGGAATCACTGATCTGAACTGAGAACTTCCACTGAGGAGAAAGGGATGAGGTGTCAAGGTCATCGGAGGAGCTCTGGGCAGGCACTGGGAGGGGACAAGACTGTGGTGGTTCAGAAATGCTCCCTGACCTAAAGGCATTCGCTGCCCAGTGGGGGACATTCTTCATTGCCTGCCTTTCAAGTGTCACCAGCAGGAGCCCTGAAGTTACTACGGATAACCACTGTCGTCCTGTCAGTCAGATGCCTCTTGCTTGCCGGAGTGAAAACCTGAATCCTGACCACCACCTGCTCCCACTGTGGACCATCAAGTTCTCACATAACCCCAACCACGAGGAGGGCTCCAGACCAGGCTCCATCTCTGTCCAAGGCCACGTTCATACACCATATGAACCTGGGATCTTTATCATCTCATTATAATGATAAGAAACACATCCACAGGCAGGATGACAGATCGACTGTGCCCAAAGTAGGAAAGAAGAGATGTGTGGTCCTGATCTCTGGAAATCTCCTCCCTTTCCCTGAAAAGCTCCGATGGCGGCAGGAATGATACGCCCCCTCATCACCAGACCCCAGGCCTGTTCAGAAAGAAGGTGCCTTTAGAGTGTGAGCGCCCCTGTTCCATTCATTGGCCGGTGAGTCAAGTTTCCTGCCTGCTCTCAGACTTGTCATTTGCAAATGGCACAGAGCAGGAAAAGAATCTGCAGATTCGGTGACACCAGGGCCAGAGTCTGTGCAGGGCGCTGGAGAGCCAGCCATGAGGAAAGCTGCTCATAGTTCAGAAGAGCAGGAGCATCTCTGCCCAGGAAACCCACATCTGGGCGTAGCTGTCACACAGTCCAGAGGCTGGGGCCGTCTTCCTGGGCCTGCTCTACCAGCTCATCCCAGCCCATCTCTGTGGCAGGGCCCACTTCCCCCACCTCTTGCACATGCCCCCTAGCACGTAGTAGACTTGGAGGCCCAGCCCCACCAAGTGAGCCCAGAGATGGAGGAGACTTTCCTTCACCCTATCTAGGCCATCTCTCCTCCCTCCTCACTACCTCTGCCAGGAATTGCTTCCTCTTTTGTGGATCAATAGTATCTTGTTGCTTAAGGCCTCAATTGAATGATTGTGCCAAAATTCAACCCTCTTATATTTAAATATTTCCCAATTTCTGGGCTGTCCAGATTGAAACAACCACGTGCAACACTGAACGTTCTGGTCTAGGTGGAACTATGCTCAGGCTGGTCCAGTACTTTTACACAATCCTTCTTTTAGAGCCTGGGAAAGAGCGTTCACGGACCATTTTCTGAGTCTCAGTTCGTGGTCTCTGAATGGCAGCAGGAAATCAAGAACATACGTGCCACTCCAAGAACACTCGACGACTGGCAGGCATGCCTAAATCCACGCTTAAAAAAATCAGTATTTTTCTGGGCACGGTGGTGCACGCTTGTAATCCCAGCGACTTGGGAGGCCGAGGCAGGAGGATCTCAACTTCAAAGCCAGCCTCAGCAATTTATCGAGGCCCTAAGCAACATAGACTCTGTCTCAAAGTACAAAATAAAAAGGGCTAGGGATGTGACTCAGTGGTTAAATGCCCCTGGATTCAATTCCTGTATGCCCCACTCCCCAAATCAATATTTCTTTAGAGAAGCGATCCTTGAGACTTCTTGGAGGGATTCCAGGAGCCCTTTGAAAGTCTGGTGAAAGCTTGGACTGTCTTGTAGGGGGCATTGGAGGGGAGCAGAAATGCATAACATCTCCCCACAAGGGTTCTGCGGATCTCAACTCTGCAAAGAAGCCATTCTGCCTGGAGTAACTCTTCTCTTATCATCCCCAAATTTTACTCCTTTGAGCCACCCAATCCTAAACATCTCCTTCCCCAGGTATGACCTCTATTTATGCATAAGTATATTCGAGTGATTTTTCTCAAACAACGAAACAGGATGTCTCAAAGGGCATCTAATGCCCCACCTCTTATACAACATAAAGAAATTGGGATTTTGTCTTTTTCCTCTCCACAAAGGTGAAAGCAAAACCCAGGGTGTTCTGTGCCCAGCAGTTTCTGCACAAAGGAGTTTCAGGTATTCCTGGCCTCGGGATGGGGTGGCACCATGCCATGATGGCAGAGAAAGGTCCAACTCCCTGTCACTACTCCCTGCCAGGTTTTGCTCTTGGGACCACCTTCCCCATGCAGGACCCTCTTGATGCACATGTCTTCTGGAGTAGGCTGCAACCACCAGGTTATTGTGCTGGCATAAAACCCAGCTTCTCTAGGGGGCTGGGGATGTAGCTTAGTTGGTAGAGTGCTTGCCTCACATGCACAAGGCCCTGGGTTCAATCCCCAGCACCCTCCCCCCTACAAAAAAATACACAGCTTCTCTAGACCATAAAGCTTCTCAGGAACAGGGGCACCTCATCTCCAAGACCAGGGCCAGGCACCACTGAGTGCTGCCATCCAGCAGGTGGTCCATCAACTGATGATGAATGATTGGCTGGATGAATAGAGTCACATCCTTGTTATCTTCTCTGGCTTGTTCGTCAAGGGAACTCATTGTTCAAAAAGAGCAGTTGAAAGTTTTGAGATCCAGAGTCTTATGACTTGGGATCAAATCCTGGTCCTACTGGATCAAATCCCTTTTCTCATCGTCCCCCCCCCCATTTTTTTTTTGCCTTAGGGCAAGTTATTTGACCTCTCTGAGCCTCAGTTTCCCCATCTGCAAAATCTGCATCATGCAAGCAACAGCACTGTCCTTGTGAAGGTTAAGTGAGAACATGCAGGCTGGCGGTGCAGCTCAGTGGCAGAGCGCTTGCCTGGCATGTGTGAGGCACTGGGTTTGATCCTCAGCAGCACATAAAAATAAATAAATAAAATAAAGGTATCATGTCCATCTACAGCCAAGAATTTTTTAAAATGAGAAAATGTGTAGCAAACAGAACCTGGCAC